GTAATTAGACTCATTTAAGTAGTTTATTCATAAGTCTTACCGAATTTTGCTTTGGTTAGTTTAGATTGCATGTTTGTTAGTATATTTTGATGATTGTTGATAACGATTATTTTGAGATAGTGTTGTTCTTGTAAGTAGGCATATTATCGATATTCTGCTATTAAAACAATTAACTACGAGGTTTTTATTATTTCATTATTATTATTTTTAAAGTTTACCTACAAATGAAAAAAGTAAGAAAGAATGGCTGGAAACTATATATATTATATGACAGCCGAACATAAACATTGGATCAAATACCATCTTCGTTTGTTCGCTCCTTTCAAATTTTACAACTTTGAATGTAACTAGATTACATGATAATGCAATTCCATCGTTACATTTATTGGTAAATACATTTATATTTAAATTTTGATTAAAATGGCTCATTACTTGCCTAGTAATAATAGCCTAGTATTAATAATACTTTGATTACAGTAAACTACACAAATTTGCAAACGTAAAATACAGTAACAACAGTTTCAACATTCACGCCATACATTTGCATGTCGATATTGACTTATCTATGATTATGGTACAACACTAAATCCGCCATATGTATGGTACAATTTTGGTTTAGGTTTATTCCGTAGATAGGGCAGCCTTCCTTTCCTTTATTTTTTTCCATCCTCTAAGATATAGAAGTATAAAATATAAAATAGGAATGCAAAACTTACAACATTGTAGGAATGTTCAATTAAAATTCATTAACAATTATGATAATTGATGAAAACAGTAAAATTTATTTGTTAGTTTGCAATGTATTGTATAGATGGCATTTCTTTGAATTGATTCCCGAATTTACTTTAAAATATATATTAAAGTTTTAATAATTATTAATTATTGTAAGTATTATAACAAACGCCTGAACAAGAACAATAAACTTGCCAAAAATGTAATAGTTGCCATCTATTGGTATTTTTTGAATATCATTACAATCGCATCGCGGGTAATTTGATACCATGTATTGATCAGTGTTATGAATCAAAAGAAGCATCCGAATAAGCGGAGTTACCAGTGCGACATTTATTTGTATGAGAATGGCTATATCTATTAGTGTAGTATTACTATTATCTGTGACGTTTTGGGGGTTAAGTAGCTCGCGTCCGTAGGCTGTGTACCCTCGAGACCCTACACGTGACCCCTGGGTGGTGCCAAATAAGCTACAAACTCCGGTGGTAGACCTTGGTCGTGGCTGGTGACCACCCTCTGGGCGAAGCCTAGCCGCCAAACAGCTATAGCTGTGTTCCGGCTTGACGCCCAGAGTAGCCGCTCTAGAGTGAAGGGTCTGTACAGTTGCACTGCACTGATTTGGTTGATCTCGGGGCTCCCTTGTTGATGCGCTGGGAACCTAGATGCGGAGGGTAGCGGGATCCGAAGCACGGTGCTCCGCTGGCCGACCGCAGGTAGTAGGGGGCCCAATTAGCTGACTAGCCTCCAGTGAAAGGCTGCCCCGCCAACTCGCGAAAAATCCCGGGGTGCTCCATCGTGCCGGTTGGCGACCGGATGAAAGGACCCGATGGCCACTCGCGGGGGGGTTCGGGCGTCCCCGCGCGCTCCAGTCTAGTTTCCCATCGGCGTACCATATAGGGTATGTGCCGCATGACTTTCAGTAGTAGTGTCTCGTACAACTGCCTTCGCTCTCCCCATTCACTCTAACCCTAATATGAAAAGGTCAAGAAAATTGAGGAAGGCTAAACAGCGGATGCACGTCCTTTCACTTAAAGTGCACCTCTCGAACATCCGAGGTCTGCACTCCAATCTCTCATCTGTCCACCATCATCTTGAGACTGAAAGGCCTCACATGCTCTTCCTCACGGAGACCCAAATTAGATGTCCTTCGGACACGGCGTATCTGCATTACCCAGGTTACATTCTGGAGCACAAATTTAAGCAGCGCGCTGGTACCTGCGTTTACGCTCGTGATGACATCTGCTCTAAACGTCTCCGTGACCTTGAAGACCCCGATCTCTCTGTAATGTGGGTTCTGGTAGACACTGGACTGGAACAAATTGTCTACGCCAGTGTGTATCGGTCGCATTCTGGAGACCCGGAGACGACTAGGCTGTTCAACCATCTCTGCAGCTCGGCGGAAACAGTCCAACAACGGTATCCTAAAGCACAACTTGTCTTTTTGGGGGACTTTAATGCCCATCACCAGGAATGGTTGTTCCCATACCAAAAAACCGACCACGCTGGAAGAGAGGCGCGGGCATGTGCTCTATCGCTAGACCTCACCCAGCTGGTGAGTTGCGCTACCAGGGTACCGGACGTTGACGACCACACTGCCAATTGCCTGGATCTTCTGCTGACAACCGATCCAGACCGCTACCAAGTATCGGTCTCATCCCCACTAGGGACATCCGATCACTGTCTGGTGAAATCTGTATCTGTCCACCCCCCTCTCCCGATCTCAGTACGGGAAGTACTAGGAGGATGTGGCGATACAAGTCAGCAGATTGGGATGCGATGCGGCATTTCTTTGCATCTTATCCCTGGCGGCAGCTGTGCTTCTCTTCTGACGATCCGACGTGCTGCGCGTCTGCCGTCTCTGAGGTGATTATTCGGGCTATGGAATACTTTATTCCGTATTTCGAAGTCTCCTCCAGCGGCAAAGCTCGCCCTTGGTTTAACGCTGAGTGTGCTTCTGCGGAAACGCTAAAGCAATCTGCGTACCAGGCTTGGGCTGATGCTCGAGATCGCAAAGCACCGGAAACCCTCCGTCTGAAGAAAGCCTTTAATAAAGCCGCTAGATCCTGCAAAAAAGCGATACGGAAAGCTCGCTTCGGCCATATTAGTCGTATTGGGGTCAGGTTAGCTTCATACCCATCAGGGAGTAAAGCATTCTGGTCACTCGCTAAATCGGTCGAAGCGAATTTCTGCAGGTCATCCCTTCCGCCTTTAATGAGAGATGACGGATCGCTGGCTCATACCGCTGAAGAGAAAGCAAATCTTTTTGTTTCTCTTTTTGCTTCCAACTCCCGTCTTGACGCTACTTTGCAAACACCACCTACACTACCTCGATGTGACTCGGAAATGCCCGAAATCACTATCCGTCAAAAAGAGGTGTTGAAAGCTTTACGCAAATTAGACGTCAACAAAGCCAGTGGCCCTGACGGAGTCCCAGCGATTGTCCTGCGGAACTGTGCACCCGAGTTGTCTCCGGTGTTGACTCGCCTGTATCGCCTCTCTATGAGTTCTGGACAAGTCCCGAAATCCTGGAAGCTTGCAAATGTACAGCCTGTACCTAAGAAAGGTAGCCATGCCGACCCATCTAATTATCGACCTATCGCAATCACCTCCGTACTCTGTAAGACTATGGAGCGTGTATTGAACAGCCGTCTCCTTGGATACCTCGAAGATAACGATCTCCTCAGTGATCGACAATATGGTTTTCGCCGTGGACGATCTACTGGGGATCTTCTTGCGTACGCCACACATTTATGGAGCGAGGCTGTCGAGAAACGCGGTGAATCGCTTGCCGTGTCTCTCGACATATCAAAGGCCTTTGATAGGGTTTGGCATGATAGCCTGTTAAACAAGCTTCCAGCTTACGGAATTCCTGTAGGCTTTTGCACATGGATAGGCGATTTTCTGAAGGGTAGGTCAATCCGTGTAGTTGTAGATGGTTACTCGTCTGCTCCTCATGGTATAAATGCCGGTGTACCTCAGGGATCTGTCCTCTCCGCCACTCTATTCTTGCTGCATATCAACGACCTGCTGCTGATGCCCGGTATCTTTGGGTACGCAGACGACAGCACAGTGGCGGTGAGTTATGTGCCAGACGCCCGAGACAACAGTGAAGAGATCCGGTGTAAGCGAGAGGCGATGGTCACCCGGTTGAACCTGAGTCTGAAAGCTGCTTCCGACTGGGGAGATGCTAACAGGGTCAGGTTTAATGCGGCTAAAACACAGGCGTGTCTTTTCTCATCAAAACGGAGTCCCCTACACCTTACTCCGACTTTCCGAGGTGTATCCGTGCCGATAAGGGACCACCTTGAGCTACTTGGTCTGGACTTATCATCCAACCTCAACTTTGGGCGATACATCGAGTGCTTGGCAAAAACTGCTGCCAGAAAACTAGGCATACTTTTCAAGGTCAGGCGCTACTTCACACCTGAACAGCTTTTAAATCTGTATAAAGCACAAGTTCGATCCTGTATGGAGTACTGCTGCCACCTTTGGGACGGCTCTGCCCAATACCAGTTAGCTGCCTTGGACTCGGTGGAGCGTAAAGCAAAGAGACTTATTAACAATAATCCTCTTGTGGAGTCGAAGCTCCAAAATCTCGATCATCGCAGAAAAGTAGCCTGCTTGTCGGTTTTCTATCGGATACATTTCGGGGAGTGTGCGCAGGAACTTTTCAATTTGGTTCCGCCCTCACCGTTCCTCCTTCGGTCGACTAGAAGGTCCGGAGCACTCCATTCTTATGTCGTTGATATTCCACCTATTCGCACTAAGCGCTTTGCCTCCTCCTTTCTGATGCGTACGGCAAAGGAATGGAATGCTCTACCGGCATCTGTATTTCCCGAAAAGTACAATTTGGGGCTATTCAAGGCTAGAGTGAATAGGCATTTTTTAGGCAAACGCGTCCCATCGTCGGTCACATCGTCGCTTAACATCAGGTGAGATTGTGGCCAAGCGTGTGTCTATTATATATTAAAAAAAAAAAAAAAAAAAGACGTTACTATTATTGTTATTAAGTTTTGAGTTCAAATCGCTTGATCTTAATAACCTTTTGACTTCATTTACTTTTTAAAAAAAATACATTACATGATGATCAAAATTTTATGCAAATTATGTGGCGTTATGTTATAACGTGATAAACATAAAAAAATTCCATTGTCTATAAAACTTTATCATTTATTCGCTAAGAAAACATGAGACCACCGATATCACGCTGCATATCATTCAAGGCACCTGTGAAATTATAAAAATAGTATATTTATTATTATTCTCACCAATAATTAACGTTCCAAGCAGCCTTATACCGCTGAGGGTCCAGGACTGTCTCCTGGCTGGAATCTGGTCCTGGAGTCTTTTCCAAACGAAATCTATGGGTATGTAGTATATCAGTGTGAACGATAAAATCATCACGCACGCCACCAAGATCTTGGCCGCCTGTGCTAGGCTGAATTGGAGAAAAAATTTGGAAAATTAGTTTTTAAGCTTTTAATTTTGTAGACAAAATCAACCATGCTAATTCGTTATTGGCCAGACGATGTGACTTTATATCAGATTTTAGAAGCAGTAGAGCACCTTGTGAAAGAGTTTATCCACCGAAGTACTGCCCCTTCATTAATTTCTGCTGCCAAGCAGTAATGTGAGCATTACAGCGTTCTGTTTTTGAAGGGTAAGGTGCTGGGGTAACTACAGGCACACGAGACTAGTCAACTTATGTCTCAGAGTGGCGGGCGTAGTGGCAGTGCCCCTCAGGTCTTTGTGATTTACGGCTCTGAGTGGCACTGTAATTGTTATGGAATAGACAGGAGTGCGCTTACCTGGTATTATAGAGAAAGACCTACGACGGTACGCATCATCAACTCATTTATATGATCCACTGCTGGGCACGGATCTCCTTTAAGACGAGGGTTTAGGCCATAGTCCGCCACGCTGACCCAATGCGGGTTGGGGACTTCACACGTTTTCCGAGGGTTGTGAACCTTCTTCAACGTGCAGGTTTCATCACGATGTTTTCTTTCACCGAAAGGCTCATGACAAATTTCAAATTATATTTTGCACATAAATTCCGATTAGAACCCACGACCCTCTGCTTGAGAGGCAGTAGGTCGATCCGTTAGGCTACCGCGGCTTCATAGTACGCATTTGTCCAAAAAATAGCTCTAAATTGTCATTGTATTCGTGTATTCTATTCCTTTGCCATAAGCATTAGGAAGGAGGAACCAAGGCATTTCGTGAAAACATATGGTACATCAACGACTCACATTTCGTCCTGAGGTAGACTAAGTATCAGGCTTCCCGAAACATCGTTTCCAAATTGCCAGTACCCTGAGAAGCCAACGAAGCCGTAGAAGATCACGATTGTGGTCATAGCGATGTTTAGTACCCCCGGGCAGCCCAGGAACTGCTGCGGTTTAGTCATCTCGTTCTCCAATGGCAATATTAGAGCAATAGCCTCCATTGCGAACGCGCATGTGCTGAAAACGGGGAATAATAAATTAATGAATGTTCCAGATAATCGTACAAATTGTCGAGTTTTAAACAAGAAGATTCTTTAAGAGTTACTCAATAGTTTCACGTGTGAAACAGTTCGGGCTTGTCGGAAAAAAATTAGTGACAATGGTAACGCCGCAAGGAATCGAGATTAGGTTAGTCGTCGACCGCGAAAGACCCTCTTTCGTCTTTTGCTGTCGACGCAGACTAGCGATGAAAGAGACTCAGTCTTTTAAGGCGTTTTATAACGACTCGACTCCATTTTACAGGACTCGACTCTAAAATTAGGACTGGAGGTTCAAGTTTTTATTAATAAGACTCAGTCGTTATACTAAAAGACTTAAACGACTTATACGACTCAAACGCGACTTAAACGACTTCAATTGTTTGTAATGGACTTATACCTATTTTATGTCTTATTAAACCCGAAGTTTATAAATAAAAATGACGTAGTATGTAGTAAATAATCACGTTTATCTACATATAATAAAAATTAGGCTTCAAAGAGTGATTTAAGCAATAGGTACAAGATTTTAAGACCTAATTATATAATGTTTGCATACAAAACTTTTTCGGCGAGTAAATCAAAATAATGAAATACAACCAATATTTAAGTCTATGGAAATCCAGTTCTAACGTGCTCTTTTTTTATTTTGTGTATTATTGGTCTGTAACCACTTTTCTTATTATGAAGTCCTGGTACTTTTGTTTAAACTTCTTAAGAAACCTGTGCACGGTAGTGAGATACAATTTTCCTGTAAAACATAGAACAAATAATACATAAAAATCCCGCTGGTCACCCATTCATGGGGTAGGCAGAGACTGTGGACCTCCACTTAATACGTTCATAAATAGTATGTTTCATTCATCATTATGGTAAAACGACAGTATCAGACGCTAAAATTTGATAAAATACTTTGACTATTGGGTTCTGTATCTATTAATTTTTACATTAAAGAAACAAATAATTCCCAAAAAACCAATGCTTGAATTGGTTATAATTAACTGACTCCTGTGAACAAAGCTACGTTAACGTTATCCATCAATCGTTAAATAAATATCTTGTGGGTAGAAATAAAATCTCGCTATACGGCTCAAGAACTCGCGACTCCCGAGGTTATAAGGCTCCAGTCGTTTTAGTCGTTTTAGTCCTATATAAGTCTTTTAAGCTTCCTAGGGTTAAAAGACTTCGTCTCGAATTAGTCTTCAGTTTTAGTCTTATGACTCAAGACTTGAGGGTACAAAGACTAGCCTAGACGCGAGGCGTTAAAAATTTGTCGAGGTTTTTTAAAAGGCCTTAAAGACTGAGTCTCTTTCATCGCTAGGGTGGACAGATACCTATTCTTAAAGCTGTCAACAGCCGCTGACCAGTCAACCTGTGACCATGAGACGTGTAACTGATATGAAATATCGGGCAAAATAAGAAATCACACCATGGTAACAAACCTGGATATACTTTTCGAACGTACCCAATATTCTAACTATATTTTTATGGTATACAAACCGGTAGATAGCTCGTATTATAATCCTCATCATCAATCTATTTATACGCCCCACTGCTGGGCACGAGGCTCCTCTCGGGCGAGGGTTTAGTCCATCCGCCGCTCTGGCTCAATGCGAGTCAGAGAATTAATGAAATGAATAACGACGTTTTCCTGCACCGAAAAGCTCGTGGCAAGAGAAATTCGGAGGTTGAGAGGCTGGACACAGATTACTTAATACGGATTCGAAACCACAGCCAGTCTCTTGGGCGGTTTGATCTACCACCACTAGGCTATAACGGTTTCCGCTCATATGATAGAAATTCATAGCTGTCTCTTAACCGAGGACAACTTGATACCTGCTAATTAACCCTGTTCATTTTCACTAATAAGGCTACTTACTGCTATTATATTAAAGTCTATTAAAGTTTTCGAGCGCTTTCAAATTAGACGCTCGAGGAAGCGCAACCAAATTTTTTGTGATGATTCATCTTAGGATTTTGCTCCGCGAAGGATGCTGACAAAGTGCTTAATTTTATTTATTTTGTTAAAATGGTAGAAGGAAAAATTAAAACAAATATCAAGGCGTATTCGACTCCATTTGTTATGATCAATTAATCAAAATGACTATTCACAAGGTTTAGCAATATGACGATAAACAAAATAATGAAATTTATACATAAGTCAGCCTAGCCACATTGTTTTCCCGATGTTAGAGTAACTGGCAGAACTACTATCCCGTACTGCAGAATATAGTTTAACATTATCGACTGTGACTGATGTATAAAGGTGTAACTGTAAGGGTGCTGGTTTTTTTTTAAATTACAGGCACATGGGACTTGTCAACTTGTGTCTCAGGGGTCACCCTTGCGCAGTAGCAGTGCGCTTTACATCTTTGCGTTTTAAAGAGCTGAGTGGCACTGCAACTGTTATGGACAGGCGTGTAGCTTACTCCCTCGTCCCGTCACTTGACTTGACATTTTAAAATAAAAACTAGGACCAATCATTTTTAAGACTTCATAGTGTTTATCATTTGTTTGTGTGCGTTTAGGTGATAATGGTTTTGATAGTAATCCAGGCATTGCAATTGCTTTTATTCTTCCGTGGACTTAACTATGCCGTTAGAATGTAATCATTTTTATACTCACGTAATAAAACTAGGTATTCCCGTAATAGACTTAGCGAGGCTCCTGTCTTTGATTGCCGGAGGTTCTTTCAAGCAGTAGTACAGGCATATACATATCGATCCGAGCCACATGAAGTTGGCAAACGTAGAGAAAGGCACCAGGTATTTCAGCGTAGTGATTTGTGACAGCGGCACCAAAACCACGAGGCACAGCGCACAGAATAAGCTCACTGACCAACTCGGGCCGACGTAGTCGTCTGAAATCTAAAGAAAAATAGAAATAGAAACCATTTATTGCAACGCCACATTTAAAACAAATACAAAAATACTAATATAACTAGAACAGAAATAACACAAAAAATAGCGTAAAAACTTTTAAACAACAAGTTACATATTACTATACTAACATGTGTGCGGCTGTGGCGTGTACAAAAGGATCCCTTTCAGCTAAAGTCACAACCAAGACTAGGTTATGACGCTGGTTTTATGAGTAGGTAATGCTTGCGTACCGAAGTTTCATGGTACAGACAGTCATAAGTCCCTCCATGTTAGTACGTCGCCCTGATAGGTACTCATATTATAGAGTATTTACTAGTCAGAGACCAGAAAACGGTTCAGTGACATATTATGTCAGGTTGTGTGACATATTATGATTTACCAAAAATACTTCATTAATACTAAAGTAGCAGTAGAGTTTCTTGTGAAAGAGTTCGTCCACGGAAGTACAAATGAAAAGAACAAATGGGACTTGTTAACTTATGTCTAATGCTGGCTTAACATGGCGCGTGGTTCCACGCGAGCTCGCGCCAACGCGCCGTGCGACAAGTGCCGCCTGTGACGGCGCGGGCTCACATCATATGGCAGTGGTATGGCATGGCCCTGTGGCGCGAGCTCACCTGATATCATAATCATCAATATACAAGGTTATATATCAGCTTTTGTGCCATTACTTTTTACAAAACATAATAAATTTACCAAAATAGTAGTTTATGTGACTGTTACGTAATGAGTGGCATTGAAATACGAGTGTGGGTTTATTGATAAAGACATCCCACGAGTGTTTGCCCGCTGTGCGAATCAAGTCAAAATTACGCTCTCTAAAGCGTATTGTCAGGGTCTGTACACGGGCGGCTTGTGGTTTAGGTGTTCCCAAATAACGCTAAATTCCCTGCGTGTCCAATATAACAATGTGTTCAGGATGATGTTGAACTACCCCGGTACTGCAGCGCCTCCGCGATTTGCTTTGACCAATACGAATTGCTTTCGTGCCGTCTTGCGGAAAAAAGTAGCATCGTTGGTTAGAAGGCTCCGGGGGAGTGACAACTGCATCCTGAAGGTTGTGGCAGAGGACCACAGAGCGCCTGTACTGAGGCATCTCGTACGAACAATGATTCCGCACGAGATGCCTCGTAAGTATATGACATTTTAGATTTTGATTTTTTAAGTAATATGTTATATAATATTCCTACTAACAATAACTTATAAGTTTATTTTACTACTTCTAACACCAATGGAACTTTGTTATCTGAAATATATATTTTGAATTTGAATTTGAATTTAATGCCTAATTATGTACAGTTACATACACTGCTTTATCTACACACATATTATAAGCTCTCTGTGATGTGTTCAGGAACCGCATGCTACGACAGGCGAAATGGCGGCAAATAAAAAATTTTCTCACGTATGTCACACAACCGTAGTTTTTATTTTTAATTCATACACAAACTAGAATCGGCCCCAACTATCATATCGTTCGATATCAAGTAACGTGTGAAATTGTCAAAATTGTTTGCTATTGACCATTGACATTTCATTTCGAATAAACCTTAATCTTGACTGATATTAGAATTGAGGTCAAATCAAATTGTTTTGTTTTTCAGAGATGTTAGAAACTTGAATGTAATAATAACATCGAATTCAATGTTATTATGAAGCCGTTTAATAACATTTACACAGGTAAGAAATTTGTTCTAACGAAACAGTTTACCTTTATGCGGGTCGTAATTTGCGGTTTTTGAACGCATTATAGAGAGTTTATGATATGTGTGTGTCGATAAATAATCTTTTAAGTTTTTGTTGTACTATGTGACACTTTTTAGGTCTGTAGTTGGTGTCGATCGTGCAAGTGTGCTCCTCAATGACTTACACCTACGCACCTCTTTGTAGCGCACAGAGGTGTTATTATTAACATTTAGAGCGATCTATTTAAATATTCTTATTGTTGTATGAAAGCAAAATCTGATAACTTATTAAAGGCATGAAACAAAGGTTGTTGTTTGAGATATATTCCCATGAGGTTGTTAGTACTTTAAAATTAAACCTGTACAAACATCTTAATAAGCTTACATGTATGGGAAGTTGTAGATTTTTTTGCTATACGGTAATGAGTTTTATACAGTGTTTTAGTAGGTATTGCTACTTACCGATGAATTTGTGAGAGTGATAATTGAGGGGAAGATAGAAGGGAAAAGAAAGAGAAGAAGACCAAGAATGGCATATAGCATACAAATAAAGACGAAAATTAAAGCAAGCAGCTGTAAAGAGATCAAAGAGCTGGCTATAAACCGAAGGGGTGGAGGAGGCTACACCAACAAGTACGCCTGAAGGGAATATCGACCAAGTAAGGATTCCGCCATACGTCTGGACGTCCGATGGTAAAACCGAGCCAAGTCGAGCCGAGCTCATGGGTACACTCATCGAAATACATTCTATAGAAAACTTTGCGCCGGTGGGCTAAATTATGAGGTATAGATTTGAGCTTATCGTCGCCAATAAGTCTCCTGACTCTGCGTTCAATCGAAACAAGAGCCTCAAGTTAATACTTCGCTGTGCCATCCCACAGGTGACTGCAATATTGCATGCAAGATCGGAATTGTGCTTTGTACAAAGTTAACAGCTGTCCAGATGTGTTATCCGTATTGAGATCAGCAGCATCGACATTCTCGACTAAACTTCGCTCGCGAACACCGGCAATGCATTCCGCATTGCACCACGGAGGAGAAGAAAGCTTACCGTTAGCTGAATTTTTAAAAAGGATAGATTCATTTGCTGCTGTGGAAAGAGCAACTACCAATTTATCATATACATAGATCCAAGAAGTTATCAGAATGAACATCTAATAAATTTGATAATTCTTTATCGAGAACAGAGGTGAACTTGTCCCGGTCAGATTTCTCCAATCGATATTTTAAAAGGGGAGGAATGTCCTGGAAGGGAGGGGGGAATGATGGAGAATTGTTACAATTGAGAAGTGATTACTACCATATGAGTTAGGGAGCACTTTCCAAGTGAGAAGGGGGCAATTACGGCATTGAATGCTAAGTAATGCCACTGGGAGGGACATATTAAAGTAATATACGAGTGCTTTATCAGGAAGTCCCTGACCAACTAAAATTAAAACCACATTTGATGTGTAGGTCGATTTACTTACACCATCAGTAATAACTTTGTTTGATAGGAGTCTGGGTCTGACGACTGAACCGCATGTAGTAGGAGATTTCAGGGAGGACACACATTCTTCCATTGACTAGTCTTTATATACATATATATAGCTGATGTCAAACACCGTCGCGTAAACAAGTCTGCAGTCTGCGAGCATGTCATGGATAAACCTACACATTCAATGAAGTTTGACAAACCCCAGGTCCTTGCTATAGAAGTTCGTTATCTACCCACGATGCTGCGAGAGGCCATTGAAATTAAAAAACATCCTAATTTCAACAGGGAAGATGGTTTCTCCTTACCTCCAGTTTCGGATCCAGTATTTCCTCTAATGAAAAACGCCAAACAGACCTAAGACTGCAGTACTAATTCATATGTTTTAGTTTATTCTAATTGCTATTATTAATTAATAATAAATTGAAGTTAATAAAAATTCATTCAATAAAATAATTTGTAAAACTTAATGTAGCGTAAATTGGAATGTTTTCTTTGCAAAATTAAAAATAAGGTATTTAATTAATAACTATTGTAACTATAGTAAAAAAATAGGGTGGTTTGTATTAATGTTAGACATAACTGGTCAAAGACTGTACCACCTCAGTCAACCGTGACCATGGGACCAGTAAAGGGCCCGAAACGTCGGTTTGTTTGAAAAAACGAATATACGCGATTTAAATTCGGAAAAATAGTTTCATTTCCTAGTCTTTATATTTTTACGTGATACCTGGTATCTTGCAATGTTATCAGTAAGTTTATTCTTATTTAGAAAACCACTAACTGTAAACAGGTTTGCGTCTTCTGCAGTATTGAATTCTACGCATACTTGGTTCCTGCCTAATGTTCTAAACCCATCTCGGACAATGCCGGAAACTTGATTTTTATGAAGTAATAGAGCTACTTTAAGGGCACTAACTGTATTGCCAGGTGTAGAGTGAATATCATCGATTTTTGATACCTGAATTTAGAATGGCGCTTTGTCAACGGATGAGAACTTGATTTTAGAGTCTTTTTCATAACCAGGAACAGTAAAAATAGTTTGGATGCTGGGGGTAGACGGAGATGATCCTCTTTTTGCTTTGACGCTATTTACGTCCGTAAGTGCAAGGCGCTTTTGAGCAGATTCAGAAGTTTTAATCTGCGAGAATAGAACCTGTGATAATGCAAAATCACCACTTGCATTGATATCATTGAGGTTACCTCCCCTGTCATTCTGATTACATCAAGATTCCTTGATGTAATCAGAAAGAAAGGAGATTAAGGCACTTACCAGATCAAATTTTGTTAGTTATCTTTCACTAAAACAAAAATACTGCACAATATTTTAAATCTTAACCGGCAATAAGTGAAAACACTCGAATCAGTATAACACACGTGTGTTAGACAACACACCAACGAGCAGAATCTATGGAGGTACTTAAATAATGTGTTTGTCTTAAGACTAGTCCTAACAAAATATCAACACAGGCATTGCCATATTCCTCTGTAGCTAAGATGTAAACTAATTTGATAATTTGTTTATGAAATGAAACTCTCGGATCAAAATTGCGTACATTTGTTTTTTCAAATAAACTAAAGACCTTTACAGATTGACTCACGGCTGACTGAGACGGTGAAATCACCAAGCAGTTATGATTTTTTTTTATGAGACCAAGTGACGTGACGATCAAGTCGTGCGCCCGGTGGTTGCAGTGCCACTCAGAGCTTTAAATCACAAAGATCTAAGGGGCACTGCCATGGCGCCCATCACCCTGAGACACAAATTGACAAATCCGAAATGCCGGTAATTTCACCAGTACCTTTACTCTTCAAAATAGGAACGCATTAATGCTCACATTACTGCTTGGTGGCAGAAATAGATAAGTACTACACTTCCCTGGACGAAATCTTTCACAGGGAGCTCTACTGCTACTTATGTCAAATATTAATGCAAACAACCCTATTTAGCGCTATAATGATCTAAATACCTTTTTATTAATAACAATTAGTTATCGCAAAATCTAAGAACTTGATACGTTTGTTTTATTATAATATAATTTTCTTTTTTTGTTGCATTGCTTATAGGGTTACCATTTTGAAATTTGAATAATCCAGACAAGAAAGTTCAGACTTTTTTAGTAACAAAAAAAAATGAAAATTTCTTTCAGAGATGGCCAAGCGCCAAGACAGCAATTTTTTTGCCGTAAATAAACACAATGTACAACACAATTGCGACTCGGATATTTTAGTTTTTATTCGGATTTTTTTACCGTAAACTGAAAAATCCAGACAAATGACAAATCCGAACAGAAGGTCAAAAAGCCGGACATGTCCGGACAAATATGGACGCATGGTAGCCCTAATTGCATGTCAAATACCTGCAGTAACTTTGATTTTGATTATAGATTTTAACGATGATTTTTTATGTCTTTACGCTTTAAAAAGAGCACGTTTTACGCTTTGAAAAAAGTAAAAGCAATTCCTTCCAAGTACCTATCAACAAGGTTAAGACTCGAGTATACCTGTTTAAAACACTCCGCGATTATAACCACGTAGACGCAGCATACACCAAAATTTGTTAGTGCTAATGACCAATCAGCTACTTCTCTGCAAAACAAACATAATGATAAAGCTTTAATAATTGAGAAACAGATTAAATAATTGAGACTAACGCCGTAGCCTAGAGGTAACATCGTCGTTTAAAACGAGTCTCCCTACAACATAAAATAACGCAAATAACTTTTTCCATCAAAATTATAAGTATATTTAATCATGCTAGAGAAATTTTACAATACGATAAGACACCACCGTCCTACCATGTTCTAACCAATAATTCCTGTTCTACCATAGTCTAACAAGTATAGTAACTTGCGTAATCTCGCGATGCACTTGCGTTGCATAACACTGTAGGGTTAGCACGATAAACAAAAAAACAAAATAAAATACTGCTAAACTCGAAAAGATAATAGAAATATTTCACCCTTCTATGTAGCTCTTGCGCAAGTCGCGCCCTATTTTTTTTATTTTTTTTACAAAAAAAGGGCGCGACT